CATTAAATGATAGCTTTGTGAAAGTCAGAGGTTTGTTTAAAATTTGCATTTGAAGTCCTGGTGATAACAATTTTGCCATTTTTTCTGGACTCTCTAGAGCAGGGGTGTCAAACTCATGGGCCACAGGCCGGATGCATTACACGCTGGCCATAACAGGTTTAGTAAAGGGGGAGAAAAGTTGCAATACAACACATGACAACAACGTGTCGTCGTGATTTTGCACCCCTGCTCTACAGTAGGCTTTTTTTTACCAAAACTAGAATGCCTAAGATAAAGACATATGTAGCTTTAGCTTTAATTTACCCAGTAAGCTGTGGACTAGGAGACATAGTACCAGAAGTGGTATTCAGCGGGTTCTGATCAATTCTGGAGAACCGGTAGCGGAAATTTTGAGTAGTTCAGAGAATCAGCAAATACCATCTCTGATTGGAGATTTTACAGTATCCTTCCCCTGCCACGCCCACCAAGCCACACCCATAGAACTGGTAGTGGTAAAAAAAATTTTTAATCTCACCACTGCATCATACCAGTAAATATATTTCCTGCAGAACCAACCTGTATTCAAAATTTAAAGCCCATGATATAAGAAAAGCTGTGTCTCTGCTGCAGTGGTATCAACCGCTTTTAAATATCTTGCAAATAATATAGCAGAGACTTTGGTTTTTCCAATAGCGTTAGTAAGTACACATTGCAGGAAAGTTGTCTGAATTTAACCTTAGCATATATAGGTAGCCTGGCTAACGGCCTTTACATTGTTTAAATTGGCCATCCTCACTGTTCTTTTTTAAGGAGTCTACTTATTTTAATTTTGTTGTAATCATTTAATTATTGTTGCAACAATAATTAAGCAATTGCTTTGTACCTGGAAATTCTCAAAAGGAAGCTAGAAACTGCTGGGAAGAGGACTTTTAATAGAATGACCTTAGTGTTTGATTAAATTTGAGAAGCCACTCCTGTGATGTGAGAGACATCATGCTCGTTGGCCTTGGGTGCAAGAAAAGTGCACATTATTGCATGCTGAATTATTAATATTCTGTAGTATTGTTTGCTTCATCCCAACCTCTCAGAATGGAAATCTAGTCTCTGCTGGGGTATTTTTCCTACCTACATTGCTTTGTAGGAGGTTGGGATAGACCCTGTCACTTACTTAATAATTTGATAAATTATTGCCCATACTACATATTCAACTCAGTAGGGAATATCCACCTTTTGCAAGCTATATGTTGTTCCATACCCTGGAAGGGCTGGCAATGCATTTCTTCTCTGAAAAATCTGCTAAAAGAAATCCTGAATATTATTATCCTACAGTAGCATTTCACAAATGTGCTTTTTGCAAAATGTGAAATTGTTATTTGCTTTTATTATTAATTTTTTAATCCTCAAATTATAGCAAATCCTGACAAGTTAGGGAAATGTATTTTTAAAATATATGCAAGCCCAATTTGGTACCTGCTTGTAAATTGGATGAAGATTTATGTAATTGGCAGGTTGGAATTTCCTTAAGTAACTGACTTCATTGGCAGGAAGGGCGAAGAACTAGATCCTGGCAGGAATTAGACACATATGTGGACGTTGTGTAAGTGACTTTCATAAGCTGCACTGTTTTCTGTCAAAATGTTGTAATACTGATTGACAGCTCTGTTTCACTTCCCACACTAGTAGCAAGGAAGAACAAGAGATTAGAGCCTGGAAGAATATCGGCACATGTGGATGGAGGTTGCATAAGTAACATTCCACAGCTCTGCTATGGGCTGCCAGACAATTGTAGAGCTAATCGACAGTCCTACTTCATGTCCTATTGAACTCAAGGAAATAAAGTTGCCAGTTGCTCTAGCATTATATTCTGAGTTTGAGAATTTCAACTTGGATTGATTATAGCATCTCTGATCCAATCCATAGCATCATTTTTTGCTCTTTTATAGACTTGAAGACCTCAGTGTGAGGTTTAAGATACATTTTAAAAATGGAAAAGAAGGAAAACAAGGGTAGCTTTCCCCTGATCTTTATTTAATATGGAAGAATCTGAGCTTTTATTAATCGCCTTGCCCCTGTTCTTCCCTTGTGCATGATGAGAACTAAAGTTTGATTTGCTGCACTTTTAATGGTTATTTATAATCAGACTGGGAAGAACAAAACTACTGAGGAGATGCTAAGGAAGGCAACAGAGATTGACATTTGACATCTTGAATTTGTTACCTAGCAATTCCTCTCACTCTCATTTTCTCCTTTTGGGCAACAGAAGAACCATTCCCTTCTCTGTTAGGATGAGATGAGGGCCAGCATATGGATTATTAATGTTATAATGGAAAAAACAATGAACTCCTTTAGTCAAAGGCTCAGAACAGGATAGTCCACGAAAAAAATCTAGGACAATCTTATTCCCACACCTTTAAGCCTTGTCCCAAATATGAGGTGGCTCCCGCAAAATCAGGTTGCCACAAGAAGAAGAAAGAGTTCATCCATTTAGTGTCAGTATTGGCCTTGATGTGTATCTGTTTTCGGTCACGAGATTGGCATTTAGCTGAGTTGTTTGAGGAAATGTTTTTTTTTCTGTCCCTAGACCCTATCTTTGGGTAACGAAACTATGAGGTAAAGATTTGCCTATAGGCTTTTTTTTTTTTTAAAGAATTCTTGGGGTTGTTTTTGCAGAAATTGAAGGAGGAAGTTATTTTCATTGCCATTCATCCTGGGACTAGGCTAGAATGGCCCCATGTCTGATATAATGTGAAATAACCTTTTCTCATCCCCTTCCACTAGAATAGTAAACAGCAGCTTTCAAAAAGGACGAGAGGTTTTCTCGATAGCACTTTGCTGAATGAACTTAAGCTCTTATCTGCAGATTCACAAGCTGTGTTCTTTCTTCCTAGCTTAGTCCTGACAGGTTCTTTTATGGCAACAAAGGAGATAACCAAGGACTGATATTTGAGGGATAAGTCATGAAATTCTGTTCTGTCAAAACTAACATAATTTTAACTACTGAGCATGCATGCATATGTTTGAATGTGGTTTAAATAACCTGAACGGGAGGTAGGAATTACCTTGCTTGGTTTCATGAAAGTTGAGATGGCAAAGGCATGCTACTGATTGTGTTTGATCCTTCTGCATGAATTTCTCCCAGTTTCATTTCTGACTTCAGTAATTGCATTTTTGTGCATTTCCACCAGTCCTGCTGGAGTTTTTTTGTTGTTGTTCAGATTTTATATATTAATTTCTTTCCCTTTTTGGTCTTTTGTCTGTCTGGTGCATGCCAAGTCAGTGAATAATTGCCATGCACGAGTTTGTAGCCTTATTCCTAAAGCTTGTTTTTGTTTGAGACCAATGTAGTTGGTGAGGGGGTTGGTCCACTGTACTGAAATCCTAATACATAAGCAAACTTGTCCTCTATTGGCTCAGCCTCATGTTCATTGGATGTGGGGGGAATGGGGAAGAGAAGAGTCCTGCTTCTTGCCGATCAGATCCAGGCTATGTTGGATAACCACCCCATCATGTTGACCCATTGCCATGTCCATCAAATATCTGGATAATTGTGTTAGAACAAATGTGACCCCTTTTTATTTGCTTTAATTTGTATTTATAAAATACTTCCTTTCAGTTGGGTAACAAGCCTTTCACTGGCAACCATGCATGTAACTGCTGATTTGAGATTGATAAAAAAAAACCCAACCTGTTTTTACACATTTGAAAACATGTACATTATTCTTCTTCCAGCTGTTACGAAGCTAATGTGTCCCTTTTTGTCACCAAGATGGTGTGTAGTATGCATATTGCTGACAGTATTGTTTCATTTATCTTCAAATCTTCATTCTGTTGTTCATAGTAATGTGAGGCCTTCTGTGCCAGTTTTCTTTCTGTGAATCCACTGGACGGATGAATCATCAAAAAGAACTCAAGCAAAACTTTATTAGGGGTACTGTTAGTCTGTCAACCTGAACTGAATCTTGTCAATACTACCATTCTACCATATGGCAGTAGCTGCACCTTTCTAACATGATTTTTTGATGCTAGAAACAGCACAGGAAGAAGTCCAGCATAAAACACACCCAGTAGACCATAGCCCTTTGAGCAAGCTTTGCTCAGTAATCTCCCTCCCAATAGGACTTTTCTATAGATTCTCTGCCCTTTAGCTATTTGCTTGACAATCAGGAGGTATGAATTGGAGAGGTTGCTTTATTAAGGAAGAGAGGATTCCACATACACAAGCACAGACTTCATTTTAGGCTTCCCAGAGGAGGTACAATACACAAGCCTTTTTGAGTAAAACCTGGAATTAATTTGCCCAGAGGAAACAAAGATTTACTCTGCTCAGTTATGTTTGTTGCCCTTGTTTAAATTGGCCTGTAACACTGGTCTTACAGAAGACCACCATTTCCCTAGACAAAGTGGTTCAGCTCATAGCCAGCAAGCTTTAGTACATCTGAAGGCTTGCCACCAAACCAAGTGAAGAATACTGCATGAGTGAATAAGGGGTGTGATCCATTGTCTAAGTGCTCTTGTGTCAGGGTGGATCTGAACTCCTTTCCAATGCTAACTAGGTTTGCATATGGCCTAGACCTCTTTACATTTTCTCTGGGCATACCGTTTTAGCTAGTTAAAATATAGAAAATAATTTTGAAAAAAAATTGCACCTGCCATTATAACATGGATTTGGCCTGCAGACCATTTTGCAATGATACTACTTAAATAGAAACATCTGGCAGAATTTTAGTGATTGGAAAATGAACTTATTTTCTAATTAACGGGATGCAGTGGAAATGAAGATTCATCTTAGTGACGTGATGTAACTTGCCAGATCTCTTGATGAAAATAATGCCAGTGTGACTTAAAAAGGAGGCATGTATGACATGAAATTCAATAAACACATTTTGCACAGAATTTTATTTTTCTAGAGTGATTTACTACTTCTTAATAGGATGAGTCCCCACTACCCATCGACTTTGAAAGTAAAAATGAATACACGAGTTGAGGCTGTGACCCTACTAGTTCTCTGTTCCTTATTTCAGTGCGGCGAGTATCTCCTCGATTTTCAATCCCTCCAAGCAACCATGAAGTGATGCCTGGAGGGAGTGTGAACCTCACATGTGTAGCAGTGGGGTCTCCAATGCCGTATGTGAAGTGGATCTTTGGAGATGTGGAATTAACAAAAGAAGATGACATGCCAATGGGCAGGAATGTTCTAGAACTGATCAATATTACACAATCAGCCAACTATACATGTGAAGCCATGTCCTCACTGGGAGTAATCCATGCAACAGCCCAGATTACTGTCAAAGGTAAGAAATTCCAGATTATGTCCAAAGAAATTATGACAGATATATACAGTTGCAGCTATCTTTTCCTAGATTTGATTCAGATTTTATATTCTTATTTTTTCCTTAGGGAGACTGGCCAAATAATGTTTTATATATTATATAAAATGTGGAATTATGAGAAGATTCTATCCCAGATACCAGTAACATACCTCTTCTCCAGTGGTGGGCTGCCGCCGGTTCGGTCCGGCTCGCCCATACTGGTAGTTGTGACCACCAGCTGGGCCCGCCCACCTGCCCCAGTGCTATCCCATCCTATATATCTGGCTTGCTCACCACACGCAGCCCAGCTGCTTTCCTCGTCCTGCCCACTCTACTCACAGCAGTTGCCACATGCAGGAAATACCTGTGTTTTTGTAGTTGCATGCAAGCACGGATGGTGTATGCATGCTTGCTTACATTTTCGGTTCTGCACTAGGCGAACCAGTTGTTACAGTATGTGCAGCCAACCTCTGCTCTTCTCGTTTGGTTATCTAATTATTTTTTACTTCATAAAACAGATACACAAACATCAGAATGGAGAACAAATCTCAAACAAATAAACCCAGATTTTTTTTTCTGTATTAATTTCTCTGAGGTAACTCTTCTCTTATTTGTACCTATATATTGTGTTATTTATCTATAATATTGCCATAAAATCAATATATAAAAGAATCCCAGATCACAGTATTGGCCTTAGATTTTCTTATCTAATAGTGCAGGAAGATTGTGACTTTTTCAGCTAATGCTTGGAATTATCCTGGCCAGGATGCTGTAATAGCCCATCACCCAAATGCACTTTTCACCAATTTTTGCATCCCATAAAAATGTCGTTCTTGCAATAGTAGTACGATGCAAGTGTTATTGTCTTGGTGAATTGGCCCTGAACAAAGTTCCTGAAGGGTACTCTAGCTGAATAACCTTTTTTTTCCATTTGAAAACTGACTTGGATTCTTGTCTAAATTATGGTTATTTAACCAGCCACCAACAAGTTCTGTGAACACATCTATTAACATGATTGCTATGTTTACCCTTTCATTAAAAACACTCCAAGTAATATGTGGTAGTGTGTAATATAAAATATATGTTTCGGTAAAATTATTTCTGCCCTTAAAAAGAAGAAGGCTAAGGAAATTTTGAACCTCATTTATATTTTTATGCATTCTATCAATTGCATTAACAGTATCGTTTCTTTTTTTACATATTTTCAGCTCTGCCAAAGCCCCCGACAGAACCATTAGTGACTGAAACAACGGCCACCAGTGTTACTCTCACGTGGGACTCTGGAAATGCAGACCCCATCTCTTATTATGTCATCCAATATAAGTCAAAATCTTTGGAGGGAACGTTCCAAGAAGTGGATGGGGTGGCCACCACCCGCTATAGTATTGGTGGCCTAAGCCCCTTCTCAGAATATGAGTTCCGCATTATTGCTGTAAACAACATTGGAAGGAGCCTCCCTAGTGAACTGGTGGAGGCGCGGACAGGAGAACAAGCTCCATCAAGCCCACCCCTCAAAGTGCAGGCACGGATGCTGAGCGCTAGCACCATGCTGGTCCAGTGGGAGCAACCTGAAGAGCCTAATGGACTGATTCGAGGCTACCGGGTATACTACACCACTGATCCCCATCTACCGCTCAGCATGTGGCAGAAGCACAACACTGATGACAGTCATCTCACCACTGTGGGCAGTTTGATAACTGAGACTACATATAGTATCCGTGTCTTGGCTTTCACCTCAGTAGGAGATGGGCCCCCTTCTGATGTTATTCAAGTCAAGACCCAGCAGGGTGGTAAGTACCGTATGTTTGATTTAAACTCGCTTTCCCCCAATCTGATAACCCCTCAGGTGAGTTGAGATTGCATGATATAGAGTTCTGGGAGTTGCAGTTTCAACACTTTCAGGGAGGAATAGATTAGAAAAAGCGAGAATTAAAATTGTCCCCTCCATGTCTTAATGTCTGCTCTTTCAGGTATTTGAGGCAAAGATCATGATATGGTTCAGACATGGGGTTTGTTCATTGAGGAGCAAGCTTATGCTTCTTTATGAAGATTATCTTTTTTTTTTAGATTATAAATACCATGTTGTTTTATCATCATCATTGTATGTTTGTCAAGAATGGACATCTGCTTAGCTAACAAGGTTAAAAAGAAAACTGTTGAACTTGGAATCTAAAGAAAAGGGAAAGTACTGAATAGAATTATGAAAATGCTCTAAAGTTTTACAACAGTGATAAGACTAGTGTCTTGGGCACTTCCTAAAGCTCCTCAGATCTACCCCCACTGACTGATATTTCATTGGTCCCTAGTGCCAGCCCAGCCAGCAGATTTCCAAGCTGAGGCCGAGTCAGATACACGGATCATGTTGACTTGGCTACCAGCCTCTCAAGAGCGCATCACCAAGTATGAGCTGATATACTGGGAGGGAACAAATGGGATCCAGGTAAGAGACATAATAATTGATTGCTATACTGTAGTTTCCTATAGAAATGAGGCGGGTTTTTCTATACTGCCAGTTAGATTATTGTTGAAATATACAGAAGATAGTTGTTAAAACAGCTTCTAAAAAACAAGGTGCCATGTAGTTGTGAACTTTTATACTTCTTTCTGTGCAAGAGGGAGAATCAAGAACTCCTGTGATCACTTGGATTCCTTGCCATAAGGAATAATTACTGAAAGCATTTCCCTTTGTCATGAATTCGTAGATGAAGTTTCAGAGGTTGTCCATCTAGTCCTTGTGATGGTTAGCCATGATTTGAAAGTAAAAACTAGCCATAGCTTGCCTCATATATGGGCCGTTTTGCATTAAGAAATGTTTTGGGATCTTCAGTATCTGAAAGTTCTTTTTATTTGTCAATAAACTAATATCTGAAATAATGGTTTTTACAGTTATGTGGGATAATACTAGAGTAAGGGCTCTGTGTTCTCTCTGCCTTAAAGTTACTGGAATTCTGTAATACTGAACTTTTGTGGTATGAATTACACAAATGAAAACAAATCTGCATGTGCCTGTTAGTTTTTGCTGCTGATGGGATATAAGAGCTGAAGCCCAGCTGATATATTCAGTAGAAATTCTATTAAGGACCTTTCTGACTGAATTTTCTGTATCTTTCATATCTTTTCTCTGCAATTTTATACATTAACACTTAGAAACAACGAAATACTCTGGTTGCTGACTTGTTTGTGACCAACATGAACTTCTATGACTTTTCGATGCTTATACAGATAGTCCTCGACTTACAACCACAATTGAGCCTGAAATTTCTGTTGCTAAATGAAGCATTTGTTAAGTTAGTTTTGTCCCATTTTACAACTTTCCTTACCACGGTTGTTAAATGAATCACTGTAGTGTTAGCCACACAGGGTGAATCTGGCTTCCCCATTGTTTTTGTTTGTCAGAAGGTCGCAAAAGGGGATCACATGACCCCAGGACACTGAAAATGTCATAAATATGAGTCAGTTGCCAAGCATTTGGATTTTCATCATACGACCACAGGAATGCTGCGGTGGTCATAAGTGTGAAAAATGGTCATAAGTCACATTTTTCAGTGCCGCTATAACTTCAAACGGCCACTAAATGAACTGTTGTAAGTGAAGGACTACTTGTACAAAATTGTGGAATGCACAGTACTATCCAAGATTTGTTCTGGACACTACACCCAAGGGAATTAGTCCAGAATGTATTAGGTTCCTATGGGGATGGGGGTTATAAAGTTTCTATATTACAATTGCTCAAACTCTGATTTAAAAGCTACTTAACATAACAAAATGCTGGGAGGGAAAATTCATTCTTTTTGCTTTCCTGACATTTTACGCTGACATGTTGCAGAATGCTGTGGTTGCATTTCTGATAAATATTTTGTTTCTGAAGAGCACGAGACACTGCCTTGTTAGTGTCCTCAATATGAAGATCATGATTTTCCTACTATTATGCAAATTCAGTAACTTGGGTTGTATCATTGACCTGATTAATCTGCAAGTATTGACGGGAAAATGATTTAAGAACAAAAAAAAATTAAAGGTCGGTTTTCCTTATTTCCCCTCCTAATAAAAAGAAAACAACTCTTTATCTTTTCTAGCATAAGTTGGAATTCGACCAGACTTCTTCTTATCCAGTTGAAGGACTCAAGCCAGACACACTCTACAAATTTCAGCTAGGAGCCCGGTCTGAGCAGGGACTAGGAGTCCTTACTCCAGTTTTGGAAGCTCGGACAGCACAGTCCAGTAAGTCTCTCTGTATGGCTATGGGAATGTAAGCAAGGGAAAATGCTGTTGCCACTGTGTGAGTTAATGGGGAATTAGAACCATTGTCTAGAGAAATGAGGAGTGACAAGCCAGCTATGGTTCCGAAGAGGAGCCCATTTGGCCAGGGTAAGTCTTGTTTATGTTTTAGATCATACATTTTCAACAGGTAGACTCACAGATTTACAGGGAAAAGCAAATAGACAGGATATATTCCCTGTCTCTGTGAGTTTTACTGCATCCTCTCCCACCCTCCATTTCGTTGCAAACAAGATACTCAATCTCTGAACCTTGTGCATGCATATCCCTGCTCAGCATGTGCTCATATCCCTTTGAAAAACAACCTTGCTCATATTTTCTCCATACATCCCAGGACATCCTAGCTGTCTGTGTGCTATACACATTGTGTTATTGCCGTTGCAAATTTCTATGAATTCACTTGCAAAAGAGCAGTTCCAATCTCTATAAGTAGGGGGTAATCATTAACGCATTCTGCAGAGAAGGAATGCTGAACTAAGTAGGGTGGTACGTCATGTTGCATGTTCATACTATATATAGTACCAGGCAACAGTAAAAATTAACAGTAAAATTAAAATCATATGGCCGGATGAAAAGATGACTGACACTGGACTGCTTTTTATTCTCTTCTCAGCCCATGTGCTGGTGAAGTATAAACTCAGTTCACTTATTGGCAGCTCAGAATGTAGCACGTAGACTGTCAAAAAGCTCTTGAGATAAGCTTGTTTTCACTTGTGATTTGGGGGCTTTCTTTTATGAAAACATTCAGAGTCGAAGTGAAACATTTCTGTTTGTACCATCTGTCAAGAGTTTCATGACTCCATGGGGCAACAAATGATGGCAAGAACAGCAGAGCTTTCTGCGTGCAGGCAATGCTTTCCCAAGTAGAATCAGTTTAGGGTGGAACTGTTCCACTTGTGATTGAAATTACCTTTCATTTTCTCATTAGCAGCATATCACTTATAAGGACTCCAGCAGCTCAGTTTGTGGAATCCTAGTGTCAAACCAATGAATTAGATCAAATGATACCCAAATGTAGATATTATAAATATTAGATATTGGAGAACATACTGGATGGGGATATTTATAGAAGTGGTAGCAGCTACTGAAGAAATAGCTTGAATTGATAGGGACCAATTGGGTACTTTCCCAATCACTGTATGTAAACAAAAAGGACAGACCTCAGAAACAAAGAGTAATACAGATGAAATATGATAGATATCAAGGCTGTGTGTAACTGAGCAACATATGATGCCTCTGCAGTTAGAGTGCAATATTTTGGCTTGTTAAGCACATTTGCATTTTGAGAGAGTAGAATATGATAGGTGCCATCACAAAAATATATAATGGGGTGGTCCATTCTCTAATAGCCGCTATGATTGCTCCAGCTTTATAACATAATGCATTTAAATCAAAATATGAGCCACTCCTTTGAACTTACAGCTTCCCCAATTGAGGATCCACTTCCCCTCACTCTTTCTGTTACCCTGCACTTCTATCACACATACCACTCTGGAACCATTCATGTGATTCCCTCCCTTATAGAACATCTCCGGGTAATTTACGCTCTCCCTTACATAACATACTGTACTTATTTAAAAACTCACATGCATATTTATAAACAGACAGTCTCTCTTGCTGTCTGTAGACTCCTGACTTGGTTTTTCAAACCTATCAAAACACCATTCTTATCCTAGTCCCGGTGATTCCATAAACTCTTCCCTAGATCCTTCAAAGGCCTCTTTTGTCTGCCTTATTAGGTCATGGCAGAGCGGTTCAACTCTTTCTTCAAGTTCACTAGAGTCAATATCAGTATGAAGCACTGCCTGTTATTTTGTGCTATATTACCTTCCCAATACTGTTTCTGAGTTGATGTTGGGCATAGAAACATTCCAGGGACTAAAAAGTGATTAGGCATCTCAAGACTGTTTCATTTAAAAACACTTCCATCCACTTGCAAATTAAAGTACATCCAGAATTAGCAGCAGAAAGAAGTGTGTGACTCCCAGAGGAGCTATTTTGCCTACCCTGTAATAAGGGAGGATAATCCTGATGGTATGTTATAAGCAGTTGTAGATCCTAGTCTGCAGCTAAAGATTGCATGTTAAGTTGGCACTGAAGGTAGAAATCAGGAAGAAGTCCCTGAACTTAGTTGATACTGCTTTTCTGAATAATGCTTCTGTGCCAAAACAGGAAGTAGGATGGGCAAAATCCTGCTGAGAACCAGTAGCAAGATATTTCATCGTTTTGAGGCAAGAAAACTCGCAGAACTATAGTGTCAGTCATAAAATAGATTTAAAACAACTTAAAAAGTAAAATAATGAAAAATATATTTAACCTATCCACAGTCTTTATATGACGTTCTGCATCATTTACCCAGCCATGGCACTTCTCATTCTTCCTTCTTTCTAGCCACTAAGGATTTTCCAGTCCTGCTCTACATTGCAAGTCCAAATATGTGAGATTTCTGTAGTGATTAAATTATGAAATCATTTCAGATATTCTAGTCAGTCTACACATTCATTTTAATCACATTTAATATTACTTCAGTGTCTATAGTCATCTACAACAGGGGTCGCCAACCTTTTGGACCTCAGGGACCACCAAACTCATAATTTTAAATCCTGTGGATCAGTGACCCTGGGAAAATCCCAAAAAAGTCTGCAGGAAAATTCCCCACTCCGTTTTCCTACCAATCGATCATTATTTGGGATTGCAGGATACCATCTCCAGCTCCATTCTCAGGGGGAGAGGGAGAGAGAGACTTTTGGCTTGATGCAAGGGAAGCAGCAGAAATCTTTCTTTCTCTCCCCCAAACTCTGCCAGAATGGCGCAGCCTCTTGGAATAGATGCCTTGCAGGGTTCCAAAGATTAATTTCTGGCGGAGTTTCCTTCTACCACCACCCCCTTCCCTTCTACCACTTCTCTATTCTGAAGGACCCTCTATAGCGAATGCTTTACAGTGGTTGATGGGCCACTGGCTTAAGCATCTGGTACATGTATGTGTATGTGTGTACATTCTTTTATCAGATGTTGGGATACAAGTGCAAATAACAGCCCTTATCTGTTATTTGCACTTGTATCCCAACATCTGATAAAAGAATGTACACTCGCTATAGAGGGTCCTTCAGAATAGAGAAGTGGTAGAAGAAGTAGAGGTCTGATTCTTCTTCCAGTAGCTGATCCACAGCATTCAAGGTTATAAGTAAAGATTTGAATAATTAAACTATCAGGAATCTGGCAGAAGAAAAGCAATGGAATATTATGCACTGAAAACTGGAAGGTCATTTTGAGGAACTGGCATTACAAGCCTTACTTTAGATCAAGCCCAACTTTAGATCAAGGCCTGGATCAAATGGAAAGCTAAAAGAAAATATCTAGAACTTTAGAATATTACAAAGAAAACTACTTGCCAAATATTCTCTTAATTCTAGATGTAGTTATGTTGTCCTTGGACAAAGTGATACTGCTTCTAGCATTATGAGAATGATCTATTCGTGCAATCCTTTAAACATACATTGGAATTACTTTATTAAGAACCTGGTATTCATCATATCAGCGTGAACTGCTGGCCTTTGAATATTGCAAGGAAAATTTATTCAAGGCATTGCAAATGCGATCATGTTGTCTGTATGAACATGGTGAACGTTGTGACACTGACTGTGCATAATATCTAGATACATGCTGGTATAGATGTTTTATCTCATTCAGATTTTTTTATGCTTCCATTGTTTAATTTTATTTTAACCTCTTCTAATGTTAATTTGCTGTTTGTGTATTAGCACTCTCACAGATGAGATTCTTACCCAGCCATTAGCTATCCGCAGTCAAAAGTAATTTTGTGCCTCACAAGGTTCACTTACTGTACATTGTTAAACATCTTTCATTTCTCTTTTTACTAATTGCCATGAGTTTTGTCAAGTAGCATCAACAAAAATTGTCTCAATTAATCCCAATTTCCAAAATGTTTGAGTAAAGTGCAGAAGGAACTGCTTAGCTGTTTGTACCCAGGGAACTTGCATGTTCTCTATCTGTTTCTTGGTACCTCATGTTCCTTTCTCTTTAGCTTTGACTTTTACGATCTTGACTTTTTTCTTTTACTAACCAAATTTCTAGGCAAATTGAGCTTGCAAGCCTGCTTTATCATTTAAAAATAATTTTATTTAACATGCATAACAAAAGAAACATCAAAAACGAAATTTCATAACTTGGAATCCTGGGACATCAAACATCATTAAAAAAAACAGCCTACTGGGAACACGGATACTGAAATGAATGTTTCTCCATTTTACAGTGGAAAATACATATAGCAAAGAACATCATTTGATCACATTCATGATTATGGAGGATTTTTCTTTTCTTCTTCTTTTTATTGTATAAACAATAAGTAGTAGGATGTTTCAAAATGATTAGAAAAAAGTGCTTGCCAATTTGCACAGGCACAGCAACTCTTGGCTATTTCTTATTTGTTTGTATGTATGTTTGTTTGTTTTCAATAATAGGCACACAACTTTATTCAGAATTCCACGTGAGTCTGAATAAAAGATGATATTGTTGTCAGGAGTCCACTCTTTAAAGTTAATATAATTCTTAAAGAAGCGGCATCCTCTTTTAGTTTAAACAGCATTTTAAAAATTGAAGCAATGTGGAGCGGAGAAATGCTATGCTTGTGTGGGACCTATAACCTCCCCAATTATTTTTGAAGCATTATTGTACAGCTCTAATAGCAATAAATATGTTTCAGAAAGCATAAGAAATATTTGCATTTATTTTCATCTAATAAAACAGAATTATCATGGTAGCATAGGTCTAGTGACAGGATCCCATTTTTTTTTGCAAGTTTTGTTTTGTTGTTGTTTTTTCTGGCACCTGCAACAAGTAAATAATTAGAAACAATGCACCTCTATTGGAAACAGTGCACAGGCTGAGCTGTAAATTCAGCGTTTATTGATGTTCAGCAGTTTTTTTAAAGAAAGGAGAAAAGAAAATATACTCAATTCGTTTTTCTTTCCAGAAAGTTTCTATTGCTGGATATTCCACCAGTATAATTACATCTCACTGGTAGACTGGTGAAGATATATTGTAGATAGCAGCCATTTTGAGAGGACTGGAGTATCAGAAATAAATCACTTTTGACAGAGTTGCACTTTGACATTTCAAACATTGATTTAAAACATTTCATCTCATATTGCTTCCTATAGTTCCTCAGTTTTCTGTAAATCTCTTTTATATTTCTTTACTCGCAAATATAATAGTATGTTTTCAACAAAGCTATGAAGTTATCAGCTTTTGCTTATAATTAATACTAGCAGTTCAAAAGAGTTGAGTTTCATTATCTTTACCTGCCCTCTGATCATCAAAATTAGCAAAATTAGCTCCCATAATTTGGGCAATAACCACACTATAAAATGGCATCTAAACCATTTGCTATTTGCCTGTTGTGTTGTGTATTTCATACCCATACCCTGCTTAATCTTTTAATATGGAAACTTTGAGCCTTTTTGTGAGCTTCCTAAGAGAATTTTATGATCATTTACTATGCCACTTTAATTACTTTTTTACAGTGACAATACTAATAGTTGACCCAACATGATCAGTTAATAAACAGAAACAATCAATCATAAAAGGATTCCTATAATCTGATCTGGTTGAGAAAAGAATGATTGAATAGCATTATATCTAACTCCTTTTTCACATTTATACATTTACTATCTGACAACTGAGAAATAGTTGACATTTAAACAGGAAGCGATACTTGTAGTAAAAGTTTTTAAATGTCTTCATTGTTTTCTTAGTTTCACTTTCTGAGGTAGTTTAGCCATTCTCCCATGAGATCCAGTATTTTCTTTTTCTTTTTTCCAATTCTCCGAGCTCTTCCTCTGGATCTTTTTTCTCCTTGCCATATTAAGAGTTTGTATATTGTTTAGTATTGTTTGTTAATGTTGTGACTAGATCAAAAATGTTACATTCAAGTGACTTTTTTACATTCAAGTGACTGACAGTATTCCATTGTCAGTTCTTTGAGAAATTGTTTAGCTTCTTCTGCCATTTCTTTCAATATTGCCTTGCTGGTTTCTGTCTCTCTACTTTTGCTTAGGTGCCATTCATATACCTTTAGCATGCTCAGGTATCTCTGAGTTTGATGTTGGTCCTTGCAATTCAAAGTGTAGCTTTAAGTTTAATTTTCACATAATTCTTATGTTTTTTTTCCTAATAACTGTCTTGATCTGCCTTTCCTCCAGTTTAATATATGAAACATTCCTGTTCTGCGGTTTGCTAGTTTATTTTTGTTCTGCTTATCAAATAAAAAAAGTTATATTTTAAGTTTCCTTCACTACTTAGTGATATTTCCATCCTGCAAATCATGTTTTCATCTCTTTAAAAAACTTTCTTCATGGTCTTTATAATTCTTGTTTCAACTCCAAGCCAGGAACATCCAAGCTATGGAGCTATACATCAGATTCAGTAGACTTTGTATTCTAGGATTATGTACTAAGCAATTTAAGCAAAAGGTATCCATGCAAACTACTGCTCAAATACTCCTCAGAAAGAATATCACTGAATTATTTAAAGGTGACACATTATTCTTGGTTCATTTGTTATCTTTTTTAGATCTCACATTCTTTCTTGGGGACTTCTATTGTTTTTAAGTATTTTCTAAGACCTGTGATTTCTAACTTTCTTTTCTATATATGGCACACTTATACTATGGTAATCACAACTGGTGATCCTGTGAATGGCACATGTAGACTTAATTCCTGTACATACATATTTTTAAAAAACTTTCTTCTATATTAGGAGAATCTCTGTTGGCTGGGTAAGATCTCGCCGTACTTGGTTATGTTTTGCCCAATCATTTCCCTACATCTTCCCACTTCATTTATTTATACCTAGCCCCTTCTGCCCCACCCCAAGAGGTCGCATGTGTAAGCATCAGCTCTACCACCATCCGGGTAAGTTGGGTACCACCGCCGGCTCATAGCCGCAATGGAGTCATCACGCAATATTCCATCGCATACCAGGCAGTGGAAGGAGAGGACAGCACCAAGCATGTGGTTGAGGGCATTGGACATGAGCACTCCAGCTGGGAGATCAGCAACTTGGAGAAATGGACAGAGTACAAAGTGTGGGTGAGGGCTCACACAGATGTTGGTCCTGGACCAGAGAGCATCCCTGTCTCTGTTCGCACTGATGAAGACGGTAGGTTTTGACGCATGGTCAAAGGTAACAGGGATTTTATCAATCATTACAAGTTTTTTTTTAGGAATACACCGTGGATCTTACCCTACAATATATAAACAACAATGTGCTCACTTTTTTAAAAAAATAAGACAGCTCCTTTGTAATCATATTCAGTTAGAATGTGAAGCTAGAGTCAATCAATAAGTAATAAGAGTCTTCTCCATGTGGGGTTAAGTTCTGTTGGGTAGAATGCTGCTGCCTATACAGATCTACTTCTTAACTCTATATCTGGGACACATTGAAGCAAAGCATTGCATTGTATTAGGTAGACAAGTCAGTAGATCTCAGCTTAAGTTTCCTGTTTAGAAATTGACTTACTACTCAGAGCAACTGGCACTTGTTATGTTACAATCTGGCCTAAAAATACTGGAGAGCCAAAACTAAACACAGGATGAAGAGAACCACTCTTAAACTGAGAGCAGGCATTCTTTGGTTTTACTGCCTCTGCTGTATTACTCCTTGCATTGCTGAAATTCAAGGAAGCTATGCATAGCTATGTTCAGGGGCTGTTTCCCAGGAAAAGAAACACATCGGCGGGTTCTGCTGCTTGATTTGTTTGCTTTAGCTCTCATTTAGCAAAGCCTCAGCTAGAGGGAAGCTACTACCCTAGAAATGTCTTAGCAAACTTGAAACATTAATCTGAGGGCTGCATAGTTACCTCTCCCAAGCAGGCTTTGTCAGGGGTGATTTTGAAAGCTTCCAATAACACTGAAGTTTCATAAATAGCATGTAAGGTGGTTGAAATCCTTTTTTGTATCTTGAGATGTATTTGGTAGTTAATATTGTTTTTATAATTGGAGTGACATGTACTAACCCAACATAAGTCAATCCTTGGGTAGTTGCCATTAGCATAAGGCTCTCTAGGTAAGATTCATGGTAGCTGGGCCCTGCAGAGCTGTCACAAGCAATATTCAAGGCATAACCAACTCTAATAAGAAAAGGGATCAGTTTGTTAAGACACTGTTACATTTGCTTTCCACTTTTTGGGGGGAAAGCCTGAAGAACATACATAATTCCGCATTCTGTCCTCCTCCTTTTCTTTGCTAAATCATGATTTCCCTTGAAAATAGTAACTTTCAAGTAACTATTTACAATTAGGAGTGAGATCTGTGAAAAATAATATGTTGCCTAAAGCTGAGCAACTATCAGTCAACCATATCTTTTTTCTGAAATCATTCTTGCAGATATCACCCACTTCCCAGTCTCCAATTAACTTCCTCTTGTACTAACAATTGAGGCACTGTGTGCTTTTGGATGCCATGGATTGCTTTTGCAAAAGTTGAATGCTGTTTTGGCCTTCCAAGCTAAGACTGAATAGCAGTATGGCAAGTGGGGGGACTCTAAAATGAATACATTGCCCATTCATATGCAGAAGGAGAAGCTTCTTTGAGAGAGCATTCCTCCATTCCTTCCCTCTGTGCTCTTTTTTGATTTGCATTGATATTTTTGTATCTTGGTGTAAGAACCCAGAATAATAAGAATGCAATTTTGCCAAATAGCAAATAGGTTGTATACTGCCTTATGAAAAGGTACCTTCTTGTAAGAAAATTGAAATTTTTCAGGCAACTGCCATTTTTCACTTTTTATTAAAAAGCACTTTATAACCTGGAAGCATAAGCAGGCATCTCAATCTTCAGAACTGCCTTTTGCTGTAGCAATGGAGCAACTAACTGTAAGCCATTGTTCTAAATGCCTCTTTCCTTTTAATAAATCTGCTTCTGTTCTCAGCTCACTCTTTAATGCAAATAGACAGGGTGTGTGCGTGTGGAAATCCTTAGATTTCTGAGGAAAGTTTTGCATCTTCTTATAATAACAGGATATCTTAGACCATTGGAGATGCTGTACATGTGTGCCATACATTGTTAATCTTTGAAATCTGACATGTCTTTATATACAGACATGCATGTAGAGAAATATTTGTTCCTGAGAAAACCATTAGAAGAGTGGGGAATAGAGAAAGCAATCACAATTAAGGTACCAGGGTTAGAGGTAACTTGATGATTTCTCTCTAACTAAGTTTTCCTATGTACATTGCAGTGCCCGGTGCTCCCCCACGGAAAGTGGAGGTAGAGTCAGTGAACTCAACAGCAATTCGTGTTTCCTGGAAATCACCCATCTCCAACAAACAGCATGGCCAAATTCGAGGTTACCAAGTCACCTATGTAAAAATGGAGAATAATGAACCAGTTGGACCACATGTCATCAAAGATGTCATGGTAGCAGAATCCCAGGTATAGCCTGCTGTTGATGACTATACATACTTATTTGCAGAATTACCTGCGCGTCAGTGGTTTTTATTTTATTTATTTTTTGTTCACTGGACTGGTTAAAATTCTAACACAGATGGGAAATCTATGATCCCAGTGGTGTTGATCCCCTCTGAATTAATCCCCAGAGTTATTGGTCATGGATAATGGAAGCTACAGTCCAAATATATCTAGAAGACCACAGATTCATTATGTTTACTCTAAATAAATTTAGAAGTTAAGGCCAACTGCACAGTATGTGGTATACAACACCAAGTAACTAGAGCTTGCAAGTACAAACTCAAATAATGAAATTCAAGTAATGAATGAAAAGATAGGATTAATCTAAAGAAATCAATTTGTTGGAATAGGTTTAAGGAAAATACAACTAAATTGACTTTTTGAATAACACATCCAAAAGGTTAAGTGTTATTAAATGTTGCTAATTTTGCTAAAAATGGATTGAATGAGTTTCAGAATTGCCTTCTAATGTTAATTAAGTCATCCTAAATGGAAAGTCTGGAATTCTTCAGTAATATGCTGGAAATAAATTTATGCTTTATTGGAGGTTCTGTATTTTACTACAAGTGTTAATAAAATTTGTTATATTTGATTGACATGAGTTGTCAAATCAAAGAACTTTCTGAAATGACAGCAGTAGGGAAAGGGTTGACGAGAATAAAATGATTTTTGAGAAATCTAAGGTCCTTCTTAATGAATTCAAGGGAGCAGGATAATATAAGCATTGCCTATTATCTCTTTGCAGCTGAGTATTTTGTCAGGAGTTCCTTAGCATAAGTACTATACTCATAATGTCACTGAAATAAAGAAGAAACTAAGTCTTTGTTTTGAACTTATTTGTTGTAAAATACCTTTTGGATTCAGGAAGGATGGGTGGAGGGGCAGAGGATTCATGCTAAGGTTTCTACAGTTGCAAGATGGGGGTGATCAGTTGTGAGCTAGATTTTTTAATGGCACCCTGTAGAATTACAAGACAAGTGCACAGACTAATTGATTTGCTTCCTAAGTATAGTTGAATTATTTATCTCTCTCAACAGGGAGAAAAGCACAGCAAACAATAAGAAAATAAAATAAATCACAGACATCTTTCATACACTGGAAAATAAAGCCCATCCTAAGAATTAAGGAGAAATAAAACAAGAACCTATTAGCATAGGATTATATTTCTTGGATTAGATCATCAGAATTTCTATGAATCTTTTCAAAATTTTCATATCTGGGAAGATACACAGTGGTTTTTCTCTGAGAAAGTTGTCCCTTTAGCTGGTAAAATACATAAGTTTGCCATATTTCTCTAGGGTTAAAGATTTGATCCTCAATACATACATACATACACTCTTAAGTTTTCGCGGGTACTTACATGTATGGCATTCAGCTTTGTTCGAGTATTTTCCCACGTCATTGTAGTTGTGCTTTTAAAGTTGTAGCAACGTTTTGGCAGAATCTCATCTGCCATCATCAATACACAAGCCTGATGATGGCAGATGAGATTCTGCCAAAATGTCGCTACAACTTTAAAAGCACATCTATAATGATGTGGGAAAATACCCAAACAAAGCTGAATACTATATCTATCTATCTATCTATCTATCTATCTATCTATCTATCTATCTAT